AGCCTCGGGGCTGGAGGGTCCAGGGACCCCACTCTGGCTTCCCCCCAGCCCCCCAGTGCCAGGACCTCCTCCCTGCACCCGCTGACCGTCTCCGAGACTCAGAAGCTCAGCCCTAGGCGGGGCGCCCAGGGAAGCTCCAGGGTCCGAGGGCAGACTGGAAGGAGGCGGCTCTGCAGCTCCTGAGCCGTGGGTCTCAGGCCCGCGCTGGATGGAGCAGGGCTGACGGACTGTGCCCCTGCCGGGAAGGGTGCTCAGGACAGCTCCCCAAAGCCAGCCCCGGCCTGCAGGGTTCCGGACTCCGGATGTTGCCCCACCCGGCCTCTCGCCTCTCCCTTGGACCCATCCCCACGGCTCATTGGCAGGCCTGGGTCCGTGCACCCCAGCAGCCAGCCCAGCTGGCAGGCGAAGGGTTAATTCGTGCACCAGGCTCAAGGCGTCCTGCGAACGGATGATCACTCTCTCTCTGGGTGAGGATGAGGAGTGTGGGAGGAAGGGGGTCAGCATCAGCCAGCTGGTGGAGGGAGGCTGCCAGGCAAGCTCTCCCCATTTCGAAAATGGAGGGGCTCAAAGGGGGGTGGGTGGCCAGTTCTGATCCCCCCACTGCACCCCCGGGCTCCGCTGAAATGAGGGGCAGAAGCACCAGCTCTTTGTGGGGGAAGGTTGGGAGGCACAACGGTTGCCCTAATTCAGCAGGGGCCGGGATTAAGGTGATGCATTTGGACCACAGGGAACCAGCTTCTGGTCCTTCCTGGGTACTGTCTGCCCGGACCACCTTACAGGGTTGTCGTTTGGAGGCTGAATGCTGAGAAAAGCTGCAGAATGGCCATAAAGCACACGACGCAGAAGCAAACTGCAGAGGTCCCCCAAACTCTGGACGGCTCCCGGTGCATCACGGTTCAGGTCTCCTGCACGTCTGTAGCAAGAGCGGGTCGGCCACGGAGGGGATGGAAACGTCGAAAAGACCCTCCGTGCTGCCTCTGGCCCCAGTCAGGAAGGAGGCCCAAGCCTTCTGCCACTCAGGAAAAGTTTTCGCCTCCTCGTATGCTGCCTTTCTCTGGCCTGCCTCGCTCACCGAGTTCATGCTATTAAATTAAGGGGTGATTCATAAGAGCAACAAGCTTTCACGAGGCAAGAGTGGAATTCAATTTTGGATTTGCCACTGACAAACCTTACATATATATATATTCCCTTTCTTCCCTGCGAGGCTGAAACACAATTTGCACAGCTGAACCTCACAGCAGCCTGTTCCTTCACATTTACCCCCAGAAGGAGCGGCTGAACAAAAAAGAGGCCGTTTTCGTCACCATCTTAATTTCTCGGAGAACACAGGAGATCATCAGAGCTGCTAATTACTTCCACAGTTCCAGGAAAACAGAAAAGCTTCAAGTTCGGCTCCGAGATTAATTTCCTCTCTCGGCCTCGCCACCTCTGGCTGCTGCTGGCGGGAAGAAGCGGTAATGAGAATTTTTCTCCGTTTTCCACTGTGTCCAGCTGGGCAGGGGTGGGATGAGGCTGCTGCCCGCTCGCCCGGGCAGCCGGGACCGGCCGAGGTTTGCACGGCCTTGGAAAACGGTCCCCGGAGGGATGAACAAGGCTGACCTGGCAGGGCATGGACCCGGTGGACCTCCCTCTGGAGCACAGGGGTGGGGGGGAGCAGAGATGGGGAGAAGGACCAAGGGGGCCGGAAGCCGAGAAGAGGGGCTCACGGAGGAACTGGGGCGTCAGTGCAACTCCAGGCTCTCCTCTCATGTTTCCAGAATGCCGGTACCCGGAGCTCAGGACTCGGGACCCAAGTCAGCAGCCCCACAACAAGGGGCAGGGAGTTCCACCGGCTAATCGGGCACGGGTTGATTCAGGCAACCTTCTCACTCCGTGCACGAATGAACCCACATGCTGGGCTCGCCAGTGTCAACCGGCTGGATGTGCCTGGCGCACTCAGCCAGAAAGAAATGAAAGGGGGTTAACAGGCATCAAAGTTGTGGGGGTGAGTGTTAAGTGTGGGGTAGGACCCTTTGGTTTGTATTAAATGGCAGCCCTCAAGATTATACCCCCTGAACAAAAGCAGACTTGAACTTCAATATGCTCGCCTGAAGTTTTGTTAATGCACCATAACATCTGTTTAGGTCAGTGTTTCTCACCCTTGGCAACTTTAAGACCTGTGGACTTCAACTCCCAGAATTCCCCAGCCAGCATAG